AAATTGAAAATTCTAAATAATTATAAACATACGATATCATTTATCTTTATTATACTTTCTTTGTCAAAAAAATCTTAAAATTATAAAAGTGATTTTTAAATATCTTAAACCAATTAAAATACAGAATAATTAGTAGGCATAAGTATTTTATTCAGTTATTTATCTTAAAATAATATATTGATAAAAGAAAGTGTTAACTAGATTTTATTTAATTTGTATTAATTATTAATTATATTTTTAGATGATTATAAAACTATAAAAGTTAACTTTTATGATGAATTTGAAGAAGCAGCATTACTAATAAATTATAAAATGATTATTAAAATTATTAATTCTGTTAAATTAGATATTATGATGCTTGCTTTGATTATTTTGATGCATCACCTAAAGCTTGCTTTCTTTTAGATTCATGATTTAGAAAGATGCATAGATGGCTTAAAGAAATACCATCAAATACAATATCATTGTTATAAAAAGAAAGAAAATTGCTATATTTCAAAAAATACATGACCTATTGATCAGATTGTTGGGTTTAAGTCGCGCTTATTTAGATTTGAAGTTGAGATACTGTAGATAATGAAGATGATATTAATTGCTATTTGGATAATATAGAACAATACAAGCTTCACCTGAAATTGATTTGTTTTCAGTGTATACAATGCTTCGTACTATATGATGTACAGTGAGTATGTCAATCAAGTTTTTTCAATATTATTCAAAATAGCTAGAAATATTTGAGGCTACATCTGTTCCAAATGAACGGCTATTTAGTAATGCTGGTAATCAAATTACTAGTGATCGAATCGATTGAAACCTGAATCAGTTAACGAGTTATTATTCATAAAAATAAACAGTAAATATGATAATCCCTTAAGGTGAATGCTTTTATAAATTAAAGATTTTTTTGACAAAGAAAGTATAATAAAGATAAATGATATCGTATGTTTATAATTATTTAGAATTTTCAATTTTTTTTATATTAAGAAATAAATTGATCATTGATCGATCAATTTATTTTCGAAAGCATATAAATAATTTTATTCGAACTGATTAGCCAATTAATCGACCAAGACCTTTGTCTTAATAAATAATTGTTAGAATGATTGAGATTTCAATTAATAGTTAAAGTTACTTATAGGTTGAATAAATCCATATATGGAAGGTTTGCTAGGAAAATGGGGCTCTGGCATTTTAGATTTGATGTTATTAGATTAAAATGTAATAAGGTCTCAATTTTAGTCAAAAAAATTCCCAGAGCCTCATTTTCCTAGCAAACTTCCCATATACCCAATTTCTTTTTATTGAAATGAATAATTGGATTTTCGTTTGAAATATTTCCGAGTAATCATCTATTGCTAAAGTAATTTATTCGGTTTAGATTCTGCTTATTTTTTGAATCTACAGCTTTTTTTTAACCTTGACTCTTATGATTTCGAAACCAAAAGTGAATTGCATATAAGGACAGGTTTTGTATATTTTTTCAAAGTTTCTTCTCCGTTTAACTTGAGTAGAATGAAAATCATGACTGATAAAGGCAGTTTCGTTTAAGCCAAAAATCTTCTTTATTTCATGTTTTGTATATATACTTTGATATAATGAAGTGGAATATCTTTCTTTTGTAAAGTTTGAATTTCCAATTTCATTGCTACATTAAAACTGTAGTCGTAATGTTGAATGAGAAGAAATAAAAAGTTATGAGAAATGTCTTCTCATGCTTGTATACTAAATTGCTACATTCGTAGAAACAATTTTCACGCCTTGGTAGTGCGAGATTGTTTAGTTAGCACAGTTGAATAAAAGGTTCGTCTAGAGGTACAGCGGCTTTCTATTTGTATCTCGTAGTTTTAATAAGAAAAAGAATATGTATATGGGCAGCGGGTAATCTAATAAATTTAGCTTAGGAAATAAAATTAACAAATCAAATGCCAAACATTGGTAAATCATGTGACAACTTCAAATTAAATAAACTTTATTTTAAATCATTTCTAATTTTTTATCTAAATAATTTTTTCCTTTTTATCATGCAAAACATGACATGCAAAGCAACAAAAACAAAAGAAAACAAGTTTTTCTGACTTAGCTTTTAACACTACAAAAATCAGAAAATATGTTACTTCAAACGGCAGCAATTTGAATACTTGCGACAAATATTTGGGTATGCTCATTCCTATGGACGAAGAAACAAGTGATCGAATCGGTACTATTTACCTCGAAGCGGATTATCAAACTTTCGGAAAGAACGAAACCCGCAATGGTGTATGTTTTCTAAAAAAAAAAGAAAAACAAACAAAGTTGATATAAAACTTAATTTATTTTACACGTTCCTTAGTATCAACATATGCCAAGCAATTATGAACTTCATTGTATGTTATCTAAGGTGGGTTTGCTTAAACATTCTTATAATCCATTAATTACGCAAAGTATTACATCGTAACAATAGATTTGTTTTCTTCCCTTTGATTTAGAACGAACACGGAATGAAGTTCACAAAAATATGGTTGTATTTAAGTTATTCTAATTAATTAAAATTCGTTATACTTAGTATTTACTATAACAATAACAGTGGAAACGTACCTTACATCAATCTGAAAGGAGAAAAGTCAATTTTAAATAATGCCGGTGATAATACCGTAATTGTTGAAGATAGCTTACTCCTAATATACCTTAATGAATTTACTGCGAATTGTGAGTAGTGTTTTATCAAATGGAACGATTAAATTCCATCTTACCAATTTGTTACATGTAAAGAACTTTAAATAATACAATCCTCATGATCTAATTAATTGGGTTATTTTAAATTTTAGTTAAATTTCTTCTATGGGAATGTTACTGTGGAAGCGTATTGGTAATTATAGAGTTCAATTTTGTATAATCATTTACATTCCTCTAACATAATGATATTTTAGTTATATGACAAAGATGATGAAATAACTGTTGACGCAAGTAGTAGTAACGAAATACCAAATAAAGGTAATATTTTCACGTATTAAACAAATTGAGTATTTAAATTCCAGTATAAAAATATGTAAAGATATTTATTTGTTAGATAATTTCTCAAAATGTGCAGTTCATAAGTACACGATAATCCGTCAGTTAGGGCAGTAAGTATTCTTTTATAAGTATTTTATCATGTTTGTTTTAGTTTATATTCCTTTTTTTGATTATTATTAATTATTTAATAGGGGCGGTTTTGGCTCAGTTTTTAAAGTTCGAAACCAAGAAAACAATGATATTTATGTTTTAAAGTGTTCTTTGAAATATTTCCTTGATCAGGAATATTATATGTTGAAAAAAATAAAAGAAATTGTATTTGCTTTTCTTATTAATCTTACAGAAATTTATTAGTTCATTAACAATAGCTAATACGATTCTACATTTTTAGCCAAACGTATTACAGATTTTTGGCGGTTTTATTACGAAAACACCAAAAAAAGCTTTTTAGTAATGGAATGGTAGTTTATCATTTACACTTAGATATATTTTACTTTTTTTTGTTATATTACTTAACAATTGTTTGATTTTAGGATAAAATATGGAACTTTATATGAGCTTATCAAAAATGAACACAGGTTTACCAAGGACGAATTAGTCGCCCTTGCAAAGAATATGAGTGCCACATTAAATGTAATAAACATTTAAGTTTTTTACATTTGAAGTATACGATGACTAAATCCTTTTTCTTTCGTAGGAATTTCATGAGAAAGGACTTGTATATAGGGATTTAAAACCCTCCAATATTCTAATAGATTTATCGGTAACTCTTTTAATGTAAATCCTATGTGACTTTGGACTTTGCAAGGAAGCTAAAAAAATTATGACAGGAAGACCTGGTGGGACGAAAACTTATTGTATGCAATTTATTTGAAATATTAATTATATGGGAGGCTATTTAAAATCACGTTACGGATCATATGATTTACTATGTTCGTAACTCGATTTTAATAGAAAACCTCCCATATTTCCCAAAAATTGGTGTTAATTTAATTCTAAATAAGTTTCTCCAGAGATATTAAGTAAAAATGGCAAACAAACCATATTCCATGACTATTTCTCTCTAGGGATAGTATTATTAGAATGCATTATGAAGAAAAAATTTTACGGTAAATGATAAAGATTTTCAGGAATCTTCTTCAAATTTGTAAAAACAAATTATTGAAAAATTTTGTGCTCAGTATTATGAAAGAAAACATACATGGTTAAAGGAAATAATGAGTTTATTTTTGTATAATTTATAATTATTGTAATGTCACTTTATATTTTTTAGTAAAAATACCAAATTTAAATAATATAGTTTATAACATTATTGGAGATTTGATAAGAATATTACCTGAGGAAAGGAAGCTATTTGATATTTGTTAATTTACCGAATTTTATAGCAGATAAGAAAGCTTTATGTGGAATTCATTTCCTATTAAGGTGAAACGGTTCGCACTCAAAATCTTTGAAAAGTTAAAGAGATCGCAAATCGACACTGTTTTATTTAAAACTTATGTACCAGTAATAGCGTATAATGAATATATGATTAATAAATATTGTATGAGATTTAACACGGCTGTAACAAACTGTGCTAAAAATAAATTTTAAAAGTTGTATACATTATAATTAATTTAAATTTTTAGAATATAAATTTCTTTACCTGATGCAATTAAAATTTCATGTTTCTTAGTACTTACACGCAAGAAAGCTAAGTCGTTCTAAATTAAGCTATATATAATTATTCTGAAAAAATAAAAAAAACAAAAATGACCATTTTTAAAAAATCATAGTATCATCCATTTCTTTAATACAAAATATTGTTTGTTCTACTAATTCGGTAATTAAATCCTAATATTTTTTATTCAACGTAGGTTCTAAATTTGATTTAATAATTTGTCCATCTTCATTAACACCTTGTACATGATTGTTTGCTGTAAGACGTTTAATATTTTCTTCAACCTCAGACTACAATTCAAGTCAAGTCAATATGAACAAATACGGATCGAAAAATTCAGAAAAAAAAAAATGCCATTATACTTTTTTTAAAAAGCATTGTATAAAAAAAAAAGTGTGGCTTTATTTATATCCATATTACATTTTTTTTGCATTTGCATAAATAATTTCGAGGCTAACTAAATCAACGTAAGAATTAAAGAATCATTAAAAAGATGTACAACGAAATGTAAAATATTTTAGCATATAATCAAATCAGGATTATGAGAAATAATTAGTATATCTTTCATTGTTAATGTTATAGTAACAACGTCGGCGGCGTGGAAAAAGATTTTTTAAATGCTTAGGACAAACTAATTTAGCAGATTTCTAATTAAACGGTAGCGGAATTAAGAAAGAATTGTATGAATTGAATTGGTAATTTAGTTGTGCCTAACGAATGACTATTGTAATTTGGAAGACTGGTATATTAGATAAATTATTAGAAGA